ATCCAGTGGACACTGCATGCCAACGAATTTTTTCTACATCTTTTTAAAGTCAAGAGAGCTGGAGGGAATTTATTCCAAGCAGATTCGTGAGGAAAAGCGTGAAAATGCAATGGAAGCCTTGCCCCGTTTTCACCACAACACTACTTAGCTTTTTTCCACTCAGAGACTGCGCTCACGCAATACGCATACCCTGATTACTAAACTACCTTACTTTCTAAGTTTGCACATTACACAGAACCATAAACTCATATGGCCAGAGCCAATTTCTTCTAAAGAAGATATAAGATTAGACATCTGGAACTTTTTAGCTTGGAAGAAAAGTGGTTTGGGAGGAACATGGTTGAGGTGTGGAAAATCATGGGGAAGGTGGACAGGGAGAACGTTTTTCCCCCTTCCTCAAAGATTAGAAGAGGATCATCCAAAGAAGGAGATTCGTAGCAGACGAAGGCACCGCGGCTGCGTTGGTGAGGTGGGCTGGAGAAGTGTCGGAACGATGCCCTTCGCGGCTGGCACAAAACAGCCGCTGCAGTCCTCAGCCTTCCTCGACTAGCAGGGAGGCGAACCGGTCCAGCCGCCTGCAGGCCCAGAGCACTAACGGCAGCCGGGTTGGCGAGAGCCAGCCAAAGGAGGCAGCTCTCCCAGGCTCTTGGCAGCTGGCAAGATCCGTGTGGAGTTCAGAGACCCCTCAGATCTTTCCTACTTGATGTGAGAGCCCCAAGGGAAAGAGGAGCACCCACACCACACAGCTCTTGGTCTCTTCCAGCTTCCACTGGGACCGTAACCCCAACGTTTGCATTCACACAATACGCCGAACCTGATTCCTGAATAAACCCATTTTCTGGGTTTGCCCCACACTCTGAACTTTACATTACCCAAATAGGGTGTGCTTATGCAACACGTGGAGCCACATCGAGACCGACGCAAGGTTTAACTAAAGCAGGCACGTCACAATTAGCAAGTCGTGCATGTCCAGTTTTTCATGAGGTATGCAGATGTCAGCCCTTCAAGGTAGACCAGACCAAAAACCAAAGTCATGTAGGCCAATACTACTTTTATTGTAAAGTTAGAGTAACAGAATCCTGCAAGTCTGAATGTGCTTCCCTCCTTCCTGCCTTTATCTTCACGAGAACTAAGGAGGGTCTTGTCTGAGACGCTTTCGCAGGTTACAGTTCTGCCCCCGGACTCAGGTTTCTTTTATCTGACCGTTGTCTTGGTAACGGCTCTTCCTCCTGACCCGCAAGGCCATTCCCTCTGCCCTCTACAATGTGGCAATCAAACTGAGCTTCAAAAAGTATTCAGGAAGGATGTCCAAACCTTCCCATCGGTTTATAACCAATGCAAGGTCCTCTGAAAAAAATCAGGCCAGGTGAATCATGCAGAACGATATAAAGCCCAGGTGGATGGGACTGTGTGCACATCAGACAGACTGACAACGTTGCAGGGATAGGAAGGGTTGGGACGGCACCCTTGCCACAAATGCACAACTGTTCTCCCCTCTACCCTGCTTCCTGGTAAGCATTATTTGCTACTGGAAAGCAAAACAGCTTGTGGAAAAGGAACAGGGTTGTGCAAGAGGGTGGAGGCAAAAAAGTCAAGATGGCGGCCACCACCGTGCAATCGAGGGCCCACCCCTTTTTTACAAGCATGACAAGTGAACTTCTGGGTCACTCTTCCTGCTTCTTTCAAGACTTTAACACAATGTTTCTCAACCTTGGGAGCTTGAAGATGGGTGGACTTCAATTCCCAGAATTCCCCAGCCAGCATGGCTGGCTGGGGAAT